TAACGAGACATCGTTGACCACCGCTGAGGAACTGAACAACCCCATTGTACTGTATGTGTGTGTACAGTCAGTGGATGTCTATGAGATTTTAATGATACCGGAGTGGCAGGGTTTTGTGTGTGTGTGTGTGTGTGTGTGTGTTGGTACATTCTCCTTGCTGGTATTCATATGTGTCTGCATGTGTCTTCACTGGTGAGCACAGCCTCTTTGCATCTCAGATTTGTAAACACTGAATCAGGCAGAGGATACTGGGAGGCGTCATTGAAGCGACAGTGGGAACCAGTAGAAGATGGATGATAAAGGCGCGTTCCCAGCCAGTGCTGAGACACGCTGCTGTTCCCGTCCACAGCAGACAGACCCACCACGAGACAGAACAGAGAAACCATACTGACGTCAGTTTGTTGTCTGCCTGGAGAATCAGAGAGGGTGTCAGTCAGTCAGACAGGCAGAGTAGCCTACAGTACATCAGCCTAGGAAGGATCCCACAGACGACACTGGCTCTTTGGTGCTGTGACTGTTAAGTCTTGTTTTTTCTTTCTATTAGTATTCTGATTCAGTGGCTAGTGCTTGTCAGTGTCTTGAATTTGTCAAGGCTAGCGACTGTATTTGTGTGTGCATGCACACACATCTGAAAGTGAGAGACTGCCAGAGTGACAGTCTCTGGTTGTTGACGCTCAGCCCCTGTGATGCTGTTGCGTCAGAGTGTCCATCACTTAGCAGCAGCTCACCATCTCTGCAATGCATCACATGAAGTGGGAATCAGACCCCTTTGGAAGAAATGGGTCTGTGATGATACTGAACACATTTTAAAGGATTACAATTTGCCACTAAAATATCCTTGTTGTGATGCAAAAGTAGTTATTAAATTACATTAAACTATCAGATTTGTAATGTTTTGCTTTATTGATATCAGTCTCATATGTCTGTTAAAAATCAACTTACAGCCAGGTGGCGTCTCTTAATTAAATTGCACATGAACTGAGAGTTTACAATTGTGTTTCTGTTTAGCCATGCAGAATAAGGTATCAATAAACTATCAAGCTACATGTGATACACATGATTGCAAGGTGATACTTTAGTCACCACAACTAGCAGCCAACACAGACTTGTAATAGGGTTAGAGTTTGTTTTTACTATCTTCTGTCTTCCTCCCATCTCTCTGCACTTCCTCTCAGAACCATCCTGCCATACTGAGATGACTGTGTTGTCTCTCCAAGCTTTCCCATGAGGCCTTGCCCTGTTCTCTGTTTGTTTGTGTGATCCCTTAGGCCACTGTCCCACATCTGCGGAAGTACATTTGTATTTGTGTGCGTCTGTGTATTTGGAGCTTTGAACAGTGTACATGGGATTGTGTCTAAGTGTGTGTGTGTGTGTGTGTGTGTGTGTTGTAATCATTGTGTAATCCCTTCCCTGAGGCCACTGTTCCACACAGCTGGACTCAGAGAGCCTCTGGAGGGTTTCTGTGCTATTCAAGCATCCTTTGCTCTTTCCACCTGACCGGGTGGTGTGTGTGCGTTTCTGTGTGTTTTAACAGGTGCAGTACCGAGAGCTGAAACTGGATCCCAATCCCAGTCCAAATAAAAAGAAGAAAAATAACCCCGGGTAGATGACTAAAATGACTGTCCGCCCACCGACGCTTCTCTTCTCTTCTCCACTTTTCTTCTCATGGTCTATAACTGGACACTGAGGAGCAGAGGAAGCCTGGACCACATCGGCTCAGCTATCTTTCCTTTTTTCCCTTTTCTATGTTCTTCTCTTAAACCTTTTTTTCTGTCTCTAAATCCTCATGGCGTTCTGTACAGTATACTACAATACAGTACAGTTTCCTGAAGTGTAATATTTGTAGAAAAAAAGACAAGTAAAAAAAATCTTATCACTTTTATGATTTTGATTGATTTTAAATGTGAGTTGGAAAGATGGATGGATTGACCTTTTTCTCAGCCGTGGGATCCAATCCCTATTTCTTCTCTCCATCACTCTGACAGCTCAGAGGAATCTGTCCATCTGCTTGCCACAAGTGACAAGTGTCACACAACGAGTTTAAGCATTTATACATATCGTCGCAAAAATACATTTTTACTGCATCCATGTTTATACAAGCCTTATACTAACTTTCTGCAATATACTTTTACGTTTTGTTTTTAGCTCATATTGTATTTATTAAATGATTTTGGTAATATTTTTTAATTGTTTTTGTACTGAAGTATTTTTGGTTTTCCTCTCTCTTGGATGCTGTAATGATATTATGTTCACTGGCAGTAATTTGGATTGTTTCCACTTAACTCAGCCGGCCAAGTTGATTAGCAATTATTGTAGTAGCCTCCAGATATATCCCTTTACACAAACACAAACCTGGACCAACAGGCTGAAGGCTTGTGATGCTATCTGTCCGTGCTTTAAAACAATGGCCAAATTTGCTCTTTTAAAGATATTAATCCCACACAAAAACAGGAACCACAATGGTATTAGTTAAAGTACAGTGAGTCTGTTCTTCCTAAAATAGATTGTGATTACATAATCATCCTTAGATAATACCCAAAGGAAACACTGTTAAGTACTGTATTACACAGTTGGTGAGTTATCCCAAACCTTTATCACTGCCACCTATCCAGATAATATAGACTAGCCTTGTGTAACCCTTTAAAAACATCCAAATCCCCTGCCAGTCCATCAGCGGGCCCACTGACTGGGCCTTCTGATGTCGTGGTGTTAATATAGATGTCACCCAGTCACTACAGAGTGTCGCCAGGCCTTTAGGCAGCCACAGTCCTAATCTGGTTTGAAAGGCTGGTCTCCTTTCCTCTCATCTCCCTGTGTGTTTTCCTCAGCGGCCACACAAGAAAGCCCTCACACACACACATATGTGCATACAGACATCTTAAAAAAAACAACAACAACATGAATACACTGCTTCTTTAAGAGATTCCGCATACAGACTGTACCTACTTGCTCACAGATGAAAGCATAAGATCCCATTTGAGCAGGCACATTCTCTCCCTCTTAGGCACACACACTCACACAAACATGCTCTCTGTGATGCTGTGCCCCAGGCTGGCCGTCCTCTCCATCTGCCCCACCTCCTGTGCCCACAGCTCAACTTTGATCCGTCTTCCCAGAGACACAGCCTTGTGTATGTGAACTGTGCATGTAAGAGTGTTTGCGTACACACGTTTATGCAATCAAAGACACATTGCTTTTCTCTGCGCCGGTGTGTGTTTCAATTGTATCTCCCCTCCAGCTGTAGACTGATGCTTAGATTCAGTCGATGTGTGTCAGCATGTAGAACTGTGTGTGTGTTGCAGCGGAAGTGCCAGCTGTTATTTGGTGTGGAGTTTTCTGGTGTAGAGGGCCGTCAGCTAGATGAGCAGCAAGTCTCTGTGTGACAGGCCGAGGCTCTGAGGGGACTTAGGCTGAGGTATCCGGGATGTGTGTGTGTGTTTTATGCTATTCTAGATCCCTCTTCCCATCATGCTTCTCTCCGTTTGCTCTCTCTGCGGTTCCCTCATTCGTCAGAGAGCGGGGTTGCGACCCTGTCTGAAGGGACGGTCTCCTGGGCTTCTTGCTGAGCATCTGTTGAAAGATCACAGCTCAGGCTACATTTGAGGAGGTCTCCCCTCATCCTACTGATCCCTGCCTACATCTCCCCCCCACTTCTTCATCTTTTTGTTCCCTCTCCCCCTTCGTCTCTCTCTGTCTGTATTGCTCTAACCCCCCTCCACACCACAACTAGAGCTCTTCTCTGCCATTTTGTCATCCTCTCGCCCTGCCTGTCTGCTTGCCATCGGCTGTACCCCCCACTCCCCTTTTACCCATCCATCTCCATACTTAAATATCAACAGGCTTGGATCTGTCACTCCAGAGGGCCATTGATTTTGTTTTGTTGTTTTGAGGAATCCACTTGAAAGACAATAACAGACTGTCCCCTAAGAGCAGCGTCTCAGACTGATTATAGCCTCCTCAACAAACACACTCTGTCTCGTGAAGGATGGCTTTTTAGAAGGCCTGGAGGGACTGTTTGAATACCTGATATGTACTGTATGTGGCTACTACTGTACGTAGTTATTTTTTAGCAAATTGTAGTGACTAGAGTGTGGTATTGCATCCAAATACCGTTTCCTTTTATTATTGGATTTTAGCTCTGTTTGCAAGCAAACCAAAGTGTTTTTATTTTATATGATGTAGAGAAAATATATAACAGAATGTATCAGACTGACAGCTGTAAAGGGAAAAAAAGCACTTTCATTTGCACCAAGTTAAAATGAGACTATTTATTTTTTAAATATTGTACAAAGCTAACTATTTAATTTACGTTTGTATTTTATACAGTATGCCTGTTGATGCTCTGGTGTTGTAAAGTAGGTGTATGCCTGCCTCATTTTATACAATCTGTCTTTTTCCGCCTGCAACGTTGCCTGCCTGTTCATCTTCATGTGCCCAGTTCTGACCAAGAACAGAAATAAGGAGCTGAGACATAGGTTGGTCAGGAGTGGGAAAAGAAAATATGATGTATATTTCCTGTTTGAGAAATGAAATGCATCTGATGTATGTTGCTTATTTTGAAAAAGAACATGAGATTAAATATTTTGTATCATCTTCAGTGTCTGGATTATTGCAAAATGTGTTTTTCAGCTACACCGGTAGCAGCAAGGGAAATACACGTTCATTTATCTCAGTCTCAAATCCCCTCTCCTCACCTCTGTTGCTTCACCGCCCACTCGACCCACCCCAACAAGCAGGCCTAAGCCCCTTCTTCACTCATGTTCAGCTTCAGGAAGTGGCTCATTCCTCACTGCTGTCTGTGGCGGAGACACTGAGTGCACATCAGAGCCTCAGACTGGGACCACTTCTGCCAGAACTGGTTTCACTCTTTCATTACAGCCCCCACATGAAGCCACTCCATTTGTTAAAGCACCTTTAGCCCTACACTGCAGTAGCCATTTCCTCCCGATGTATTGCTGTCTAAAACCTGACCACCCTGCTGATTTAATGCTATCAAGATGTTTGAGCAATTACTTTATTTGTGATAAATATTAGTGCACATCAATCTGTGAAAAAAATACACATATCAAAAACTTGAGGTAGTAACACATTATACAAAAATGTAATAAATGTCCGTGACCTATTGCAGAAATTAAAATACTGCTAAATTAAGAAAAGCATCCAACCCATTTACCCAAAAACAGGAGAAGGCCAAATTATTGTGGAGGAAAAAAATCCACATTTTAAGGCCTCTTTATATTATTCATCCTGTTGAATAAAACAGATACAGACACAGATAACCTTCTGTTAGCATTTCAACCAACATGTTTCACATTCATGTTTCAAGCTTTTACAATATGTTGTGCATTGTTTCTGATTTACAGATCAGCGAGAAGCATTTCCCCCCGATACTTCAAATCCTCCAGTATCTCCATTAGGAATAGTGTATTCTCTTCTTTGCACTCTCTCACTGCCTGAGATATTTGCCCGAGGTAGCCCCCTCTGCCGAGCTCCAGCAGGGTCTCTGCGTCCTCCACCAGCCTCACCACCTGCTGGTCTGTCCAGCCCGAAGTCACCTTTTGGGGGGAGTGTGTCTCCAGGGCCCTGACCAGCGTGAGGCTCAAACTGTCGCCATGGTGAGGCAGACCCTGCTCTCGCCGGTAGGTGAAGATGAGGTTGGCCAGCAGAGAGGATGCAGCCTCCAGGAGGGGCACGTTCAAGACTTCAGTGGAGAAGTTTCTCAGGGCTGAGTCTCCGACATGCGCGCTGTGGAGAAGCTCCTCCCTCTGAGTAGTTTCAGAGGTCAGATCCAAAGCAGTGTGTCCGTTCCCATCAGTCTGCTGCAGGAGGACCGAGCCTGGGGGGGGGGGGGGGGGGGGCAGAGGTTTACAGGATCAGATCACACAGCCCTTAGTAAGTATAACTTCAGTCATTTATACACAAGTAACCTCCACAATGAAATGTAAAGCTCTTGAAAAGATCGCTGTGGATAAAAATGTTTTAAACTAAATGCTTGCCTGTAATACTTTTTTGTTACATCAACACTTCAAACAATGACGTGTCTTTAAGAGGGTCTGTCAATGTGTCTTATAGTAAGTACACTTCCCACAAGGACAAGAGTGCAGTCGAGTGTAGTCGTTGTAGTGTAGTTTTCATAGGGTTTGATTCAAAGTGCATGCAAAATGCAAACACAACTTGAACCCCCCCTTCCAGTATTCTCCCACCTTCACTAAAGCTCATCTTTAGGTTGCCTCTCAGACTGAAAGCAATGAAGATGTGCTCTTGTTTTAAGTGGCTTAACCTGAAATAAACTACTGCTAATTAACCTTTAATGTGTTTTATTGTTCTGGGGAGCTTTAGCTTGATTCTGAATATCTGAATTTAACATCGCAGTTGCCCTGAGACTAGGAGGTTAATGAGTCTAATGTAAACAGCTGGCTGAGGCATCAGGGATAACATCATGACACGCTGACATGCTGCCAAGCTACTGTAGGCTGCAGCATCTTTATCAAAGAAGGCGGAAGAGACACTGCTCAGGTCAACCACAGGACGCTGCAACAGATATAGTGTGCAGACACACACACAAATGCATTTGCTTTAAGTACATACACATTCATCCAGAGAGGAGTTCAAGTGAAAAGGGAACAGCTGTTCTCCCAATAGGACCTCAGTCCCAGCCAGGCCTTTTAGCTCATTGCAGGACTAACTTCATCTGACACCTTGTCTTAACTGTGTGACTGGCGGGTCACTTTGTGTTTGTGTAAAAAGGCACAGTGTTGGTGACCTGATGGAGGCTTTAATAATTTAAAAAAAGCAACGGTATGATCATCAGAAACACCACAGGGAGCTACTTGCGGGGACAGACCTGCAACAGACCTCCAATGTGACATCAGAAAGTTGCTCTGCTAGTTCTTTATAGGGAACTACAAATACTATGTTCACTTAGAATGAAGGCGAAAGGCCACAAATTATCATAAAATACAAATACCTTTTACATCCAAAACCTCTCAGCCTGACTCTACCCTTTCATTGCTATATTAGTACTACGTTCAACCTGAAAGTCACAGTTGAATGTAACACCTTCTCCCCTCCTACAAAGCCAGGGGAAGTTATACCAGTGACATTTAATGTCTATTCTCTATACTCTCCTGCTTTTGTCTGCTCAGATTGAGCCATTTCCCAGTATCAGACAGACCAGTGCACACTTAGCCTACATGGAGCAGGTCGAGTCAAGTGCCAGCCCTTTGTTTGCGTTCAGATGGACCCATTTCTATGGCAAACTGCTCTTGATGACACTTGACTGTTCAACCTCGGCAACGTTGCTGCCACATGCGAGTGAGCGGCTCTGTGGAGGCTCGACACACAGACGGCTGCTTGATGCCACTGCTGCCACTTGTTTGAGTTTGACAGCAATATGTTTTAAAGGGACAATCACGTCTGTGTGTGATCCATTGTGATACAAACTGCACCTACTAAGCCTCCGAAATGCCATTTTTACAACAAGACAGCCTTGTTTTAAGTGACATTGTTATAAAAAAAAAAGTTCAAAATGGAACAATATGAAATCTGAAATTGCCCCCCATCTCTCTGTCTGCCACTGGACTAACACTGTGTAGCAGTTATGAGATAATCGGTGAGAGCTCACGTAGCTGTTAGCGGGGAAGGTCAGCGCTCATCTACCTTTTAGTGCTTCAAGCCTGAGTGGCAAAAACTCAATCTGCATAAATTGTGGCATTAATCTACATACACTTTTACATAAGCGGGGAAATTTCAAATGCAGGGGTCAGGCATCGGGGGCAGCAGTCAAGAACGTAAGAGCACAGATTTGATCAAAGTGGCCACGAGAGAAAGACAGAGGGGAGGGAGATGGAGCGACGTGGTGTGTGAGAGAGTGAGCTGCTCACAGCAGGTCATAATCACCAGGTTTCTATAACACACTGTCCTCGCTATTACACTCATGCAGTAAGAGTTTCTGTAATGTGTGAAGCCAGCCATAGCGTGACACAAGCAGAAAAGATTCAGGGCCACGGAAATATGGAAAAAACACTACCATAGTACCCCATGCAGACACACAGCAACACGCAACATCATGTCTGCTGGAAAATGGATCCATCTTTGTCCCTTTCCAGATGAAAAAGATGGGGAAGGCTTTCAAAAGCAGAGGCGGCTTCTCTTCATAATATATCATGTGCTGTGATGTCCTTGGAAAGGTCCAGCTTTGGACTGAACACTGCAAGGGGTCTTTAAGCTTCAAACTCAAGCACTGTGCGCTGTCTTCAACCAAATGTGGAGGAAAAGGTAAAACATGTGGGCAATTTTTACTTTTCCATCTCCTTCATACTGCTCCACAGTGCTTTTACTCAGCTGGCACATGCAGGAACATTTAAACTGATATAGCATATAGACAACACGGAAATGCACAAGGCCACATTTTAAATGAAATACTGAAATATGTGCACGGGAACATACATGTCTAGTGTGTGCATGAACTACATTTACGTTAATCACTTTCGAAATGCATGAATTCTATGCATTGGTTATATAAGATGACAGTCCCCTCATGGGAAATAGCTTGTTGCAGCATCAAAGATATGGAAGATGAACAGAAATAGGGATAATTTAAGCATAAAGACAAATAAGCACTTACACCACCAGTTAGAATCCCAATTACAACTGTGAGATAAAACCTGTAATGTAATGTAAATGAGAAATGACTATAAAATGATCTGACAAATCTATCTAAAATGATATAACAGCAACGTATTTATGTCTCTTTAGTCCAATTCAACATACCACAGTGTTTCTATCACAGCTCTGTTTACTTACAAATCATCAAAACTCGAGATAGAAAATGCAAGATCGAGAAGAATGGTTTTCCAACGTTTCCCCGACGTCATCGTGTCAAACCCGGCTGACAGACAGGCTCCAACCAGAGACATGACACTGGTGTAGGAGGAGAGGGCCCCTGCAGCGCGGCCCTGGGCTCGGTGTGTAACATTGACTGTACGTCTGTGTGTTTGATTCTGGATCCGTCTGCCTGAAAGCTAACTGTGTGTGTCAGTGTGTGCTGTATGCCATTTGTCATTTGCATATCTACCTGCTTGAATTGTTGTCACTTATTTAAATTAGTATCAGCGTGCGTGTTTTTCCAAGATTTTACATTTATTTTCCTCCCTTTCTATACTTCTCACCTCTGGACAAGAGGATCACCGTTTATCCACCCTAGGATATAAATCACGCTCTAATGCTCCAACACACAGCTCAACGACACTTAATACAGACGTCAACGCTCATACCCAGTGCTAAATTACATATTTTCTAACAGTAGACATACAAATAGCATCATGCTGTGTTTATAATGTAATACACACACACTGTTATGAGGCTAGAGGCTTGGGAATGGTTTTGGTGCAGGGACAGCGACTGAAGTGAATCCAGGTATTGGCGCTGGGTGTCAGATATGCTGCAGTGAAGATAAATACAGCACCTGGGGGATTACATGAGAGCACAGGGTAATTACACCATCCTTTATGTGTGTGTGTGTAAATGCCCTGCTAAGACCTCAGCTCTGAAGCTACAGCAGAGGGAGGAAATTCACATGCATAGCAAAAGCCACTGCCTGATGCACCAGCCAGATGCAGTCTGAGTGCCCACACACACACACACACACACACACACACACACACACACACACACACACACACACACACACCACACAACACACACACACACACCACACACACACACACACACACACACACACACACACACACACACACACACACACACACACACACACCAACAACACACCACACACACACACCACCACACACACACACACACACACACACACACACACACCACAACACACACACACACACACCACATCACACACACACACACACACACACACACACACACACAGAGCGCAAAGCCCTTTGGCCTTTAGAGGGCAGGCGAAGACAAGAAATATAAAAGCGAGAGTGGAGGAGGGTAAACATTGGCGCAAAATGAGGGAGGGAGGGAGAGAGGGAAGGAAAGAAAGAAAGATGCAGTGCCCCCCCCGACCCAAGTCTCTCTCTGTCTCTGGTCTGATGCTGTGACTGAGGCAGACAAGCTGGGAAGCAGGCAGCTCCACAGCATGGTAAACATCCTCTCTTTCTCTTTCCCCCCCTCACTGCCTGGAAAAGGGAGGCAGGGTGAGTGTGTGAACTGCAGCCAGGGGCACGGAATCGCATATCCACAGGGAGCTGCTAGCTAGCGACTAGGAAACCATAGCAAAAACAACAAGGATAACCAAGTGTAGCACTAATGCAGCCAGCGGAGCGGCATCAGATGCAGGAAAAAAAGAAAGACCAGCCAGACATGTGAATAATACGCTCACATCCCTCTAAGCTTTAGCAACAGTGCCTGAACGCTCCGTGATATTTGTCTCCCCCTCTACAAGAGTTAAAAAAAAGCCTGTGGAGGTTACATCAGATGAAGCAGTCGGGTTAATATATTCTGTATAACAATGGGTATGTCATCAGCTATATTTCCTGTTTAAATTCAGATTCAATTCTCTTAGTCAGTGACAGGTGTTCTTCTCAGTCACAGGTGAGTGTCACATTAACAGGTTGTGTGTCTCTGAGCTCCTCACCCAAACACAGTGTGGTCAGGCACAGATCCCAGCCGGATCATAGCCTTTCTGAGGAGGTGGGGCAGATAAGGAAAGGATCAAAAATGTAAAAGCATGGGCACCAACTGCTAGCTTTGTGTAATCCCCTGCCACTCCAACACCTCCAAGGAGAAGGGGTTATCAGATATACGCTGATTTACTGAATGCTCATCAGCTGTGGTTGATAAGCATATCAAATA